CCACCCACCCCTCTATCAACTACTTCATTTATAGCAAGTAGCAGGGTAAAATGATGTTGAGACTCTTGAAAGAGTGCAGAGAAGAGCAACCAAGATGATTAGGGGACTGGAGGCTCAAACATACAAAGAACGATTGCAGGAACTGGGCATGGCTGGTCTAGAGAAGAGAAGGCAAATACAAGCTGAAGCAGGGTGTCAAAATCTAGAAAGATCAATATTCTGTATTAGCAATATCATTTAAACTTATATACTGCTTCACAGTGCTTTACAGCACCCTCTAAGCAATTTACAGAGTCAGCTTATTGCCCCCAACAATCTGGGTCCTCATTTTACTGACCTAAGAAGGACAGAAGGTTAAGTCAACCTTGAGTTGGTGAGAATCGAACTGCTGGATGTCGACAGAGTTAGCCTGCAATACTGCATTCTAACACTCTGCCACCACGGCCCTTCCTTCCTTCCTTCCCTCCCTCCCTCCCAAGCAATGGCACTTAGGCTTTAATGCCGCTTCACAGTGCTTTCCAGCCCTCTCTAAGTGGTTCACAGAGTGAGCCTCTGGCCCCCAACAATCTGGGTCCTCGATTTGCCCACTTTGGAAGGACGGAAGGCTGAGTCAACCTTGAGCCTGGTGAGACTCGAACTGCCAAACTGCAGGCAGCAGAAGGAGCCTGCAGTACTAGAATAGCATCACACCTAGAATATCGTGTCCCATTCTACACTTTAGGAAAGAAGCTGACAATTGGAGCATCTCCAGAGAAAAGCAATGATGATGAGGGGACTGGAACAAAAAGCTTAAGAGGAACAAGTGGATGCATTGGGTACCTTCAGTCTGGAGAGAAGACAACTGCAATGAGAAAGTGTTCAGAGGATGATCCGGTAGATAAAAGATGTGGTAGGATCATTCGGAAACATATTGGAATGGGTTGGGTTGGGTGCAAGAAGACCATCCTAAGGATGAAAGCTGTTCTACAATGGGTCAGGCCCCTGGGAGATGTTGGAACCTCCTTCACTGGAGGGTTTACGCTGTTGTGGCCCACCAGTGGCCAGAGGAGTTGGCAGCAGAGTTGGAGAGTGAGGAGATTGGAGGGAAGATGGGCCAGTCCTGGAGTCTGGGGAAGGCACTGAGGAGGGCTCTGTGTCAGAGGCAGAGAGGGGGCCAGGGCCATCTGCCAGTTATCAGCTGCCTTCGGAGTCAGACAGCAGTGAGGCAGAAGAACACCTGGAGCCTGTTCCCAGTGTGCGCAGGCGCAGAGTTGCCAGACGAAGGGAACAGCCAAGGAACAAGGGTTGACTAGGGAGTAAGGCCACAGGTGGATAGTGAATGGCCCCTCCCATAGGGAATAAAAGAGGAGAAAGGGGGAGTGGAGTTTGCAGGAGACAATTAGTTCATTCCTGCATTCTTGCCAAGTATTGTGGCGTCTGAAAGATATCGGCTTGGCAGGTCTCCAAGCCTGATAAAGATCGGTAATTGTGAACTATCCTGAAAGATTGTGAGAAAGGAAAGACTTTGCTGGAGAGGAATTCACTGTCAATTAAATAAAAGGGGTTTATTGGGACGAGGACTCGGCTTCGTGCTGCTGGGGAAGTCTTAGTCAGAACATAAACAGAGGCCAGGTGGCCACTTGTCCAGGATGCCCCAGTGGTGGGGGGGGGAGGAGGGTGTTTCCCACGCAGACAAGGGCTGGACTAGATGACAAAGTCCTCCCAGGCCTTACGTCCTATGGCTCAAAACTGGAGCTGCATCGATACGCAAAACACCAAGTTCGTTCAAGGATGTAATTAGTGTGAAGAAGTCAGGAGAAGCAGCTGAGGACAGCAGTAGGAAGGTCATCTGCCTGAAAGTCTTCCCAGAGGCAAGAATGGATCATATTTCTCTTTCAACTACACTAATTATCGATAAATTTGCATCCAGCTCCGCGCATCGGAACATGCAGATCTCTGCAGATATGCACCTACGGTTGCCCTTTTCTTGGTGATGTATTGCAAACCAGAGACCGAGATGCTGAATAGGCACTTTGGAAA